GTGTTATAAGAAAATTGATACAGTCCACTCCAGTGAAATCAACAGTTCAGCGTAAACGACAACCGACCGCAAATATATGGGTTAAAAGGGTTGCAAGCGCGCACAAACTCCTACGTCGAATTTCACGCGCTTCCTGGTACATTCGAAACATCCAAATCCTCAAAAACCTCGAAACGGAAACGATTCAGGAATTCATTTCGAAACTACACAAAAAGTTCAAAACCAAAATCCGCGACCACACAAACCCCCTAATCCAAGTGACTTTTTCCCGAACAATCCCAAAACTCCACTTCAAATTTCCCAATAGTCTAATGGCAGACACCCCTTGGAAACACCCACCTTTAGAAAAAAAAACCCGGCTTAATCAAAAACAAAATTTAAACACATTAAAGATAAATCAAAATCAATTCCTGGGCTTCAGTCATTTATTGTCTATTCATCAATTAAAATACGTTTCGGTGTTTTCCACCATCATCAGTTTCTCTAAAATAACAGATAGTAAAAAAAATGTTTTCATTAATTTAAAAAACAATCACAGTTTGTCAACAGCTTCATCATATCACACATTAAAATACATCACAATTGCAACACTTTAAAACATTCTAAGATTAATTAGGCCTAACAGGTGATTAGTCAGGACAATCAATTCTGGGAAGAGACTAGAATTCTTTGTTCAAATACTCAATTATTTTTACTTACATGTGTAGCGTTGTTGCTTTTTTAAGCCTTGGCATATATTAACGTGGGCAAACCGCCCACTCGAGATGAAAAAAAACCCTAGGAATAATTTATATGGCAATACGTTTGCCGGGTCAGCTAGTCTTAATCTAATAGTCTGTAGTCTGTGGGCCGGTCCTTTGGATGCGTTATCGTACGAATGCTTTAGTCAGAAATCGTGAGAAAGAAAGCGAATGTCCATCGTAATTATACAACTGTCAATAATAATGGATGATTTTCTTTTGGAAAATAGTTGTGAGAAGTGTGAGGTAAGTTTTGCTCTCCCAAAAGGAAGAATTTTTTTCCCTTAAAAACTGATGAATGTTTTAACACTTTGTGAATTATAAATTTTATACATGTTTTAATTGTGAATTGCTGTTTGTAGTTTGTGTAAAATTTTAAATCTGATGATGGCGCTGTTGTCTCGCCGAAACGTAATGAAATAAACGTTGTTAAAACGTGTTTAAAAATATTTACTTCACACTTTGACCGAAACCCAGGAAAGATAGGAATATCATAACAAGTACAAGCAGTCAGGAAAATAAATGAGTCATTTATAACTTTATTTATAAAGAAAAATATAAAACAAAGATCCAAGACCTATGCAGAACTTAAAGAGCTCTGACTCAAGCCAATTTGCCCAAAGGCTACTAAAGGGAAAACGGTCGGATTTCTTTTCCTACATTTGCTTTCATAGATTATTACGGGATTAACAACTTACAATGTGGCGCAATATCTAGACTGTCTGGGTTTAAGATAGTTTTAATGTCGTGTATCTGAAGAAGGCCATAACCACATCATTAGAATTACTGGAAGAACAGTTTGAGGAAAACATCAAAATTTTTCTCTCTACTCTAAACTCTAATTCTTGTGTGATGCAGAGTTTTACTAACAAAAAGGGAGCTAGTTATGGGAAGCTCTTTTCGCCAATTTATACATCGTCTACAGAGAAAACCTCGAAGAATAAACCTTTAAGCCATCAGCTACGCATCCTACATCCGAGCATACAATACATTCTGGGAACAAAAGTTGATCAGCTGGCCTTCTCGGATGTTTTGGTATCCAGAAGAGTGGAGCGCTTGGACGGAAGGTATACCGTAAAACCTCTTGAGACAACATATTCTTCAATCAACTGTTCAATCACTATCCAAGTCAAAAACAGGAAATCTCCAGGACCCTGATTGACCCAGACAAATTTGCGTACTTCAACATGTGGAAATCTAATTAAAAACATTTAGACCAAACTTTTACTCAAGTAGGGATGTTTCCGTATGAAGGGTGACTCAAAACAGACGGGTTTTACTTTTACCTGCAGAAATCTACCGATTACCACAGTCTTATGGAAATGTCTAAGTATACAGGGTGGTTTTTTAGTGCAATATAATAAAACATTATTTCCGATGGTGTTGAACTTTCGAAAAATAGTTTCATATAAAAGTTATTGAAGTACAAAGTGCGCACATTTTAGATATATCTTATATGATACAGGGTGTCTCAGAAAAGCGAGGTAAGATCAAAGTGTATTTTTTTGAATGGAACTACCCATTTTTCATTAGCTCATAGAATACAGCTTTAAACGCTGCATGTGCACCGTAAATTGTTTATGTCTTACTTGCGACGTTGGCAGATTATGGCCATTTTAATGAAATTTTTCTTAAAAACATGATATCTAAAAATGCATTGTAGAAGCAAAACAAAGCAGTTAAAGATACAACAAAATACGCCTTTCCAACCCTGTATATCGAATATTGAACCACACGTGAAAAAATTGGTAGTAACGGTTTTAGCAAAAAAACAAACAATATAAAAAACGGGTTACTGCCCCCAATTAATAAGAAAATGTCAATAAAATGCACAAACAATCCAGATATGTAGTAACAATTTTGATGACATGATTTCCTTAGATTTGCGTACGTCTTCAAAGTGAAAAATGTACTCATTCAATTGAGCATCATTTAATTGTTTGATTCGATTTAAAAAATACGTGCCTGAAATGTTTATGCAGAATTTTAAATCTTAACACATAAGAAAATGTACTTGACTTTCCTTTTAAGAGCGCTAAGGGCACCGAACATTTCAACTTTACCACTGGGCACAGTGATTCCCGAATTACGTATGATGTCTTATCTACTACCAAATCAACACGACGAAATTATACAATTAGTAACCGAAAGAAAGGTAGTCAAAATATAAAACCTAAAAAAATTTAACACACCTTGGCATTTTGTTGCAGAAGAACATTGAGCATTATTTAAATAGAAAACCGTTTCTTTCAAGATTGAGGGCTTTGAAAAGTCTTTTGGAATTATGGTGCGAGCCCAATCCCTCAGATCAAGTCATTTCGCTAGGAGTATGCTCCAATGGTAATTGGGACTTCACTCTTAATACTCATTCTAATTTAGAATTTGACTTTGCTTGCTGGCTTCTTAATACACATTATTAATTGAACTTTCTTAGGGTCGTATGGTATTCGGCCAGGAATTGTCTTCTCCCAACCGTGCATTCAAGATCAAAAGCAGAGATGGAAACCATTTGAAAATTTTTCATTTGTAAATGATGCGATTGCTTTGAAAATTCAAGAATGTGTTGAAGACGCTGAACTGCTGCTAAAGAACATCGGCTTTGATATGAGCAGTTATTGTGCTTTGAGCGATGCATCACAGCTGACATTGCAATTAGATAAATAATACTAAAAATTTGTCGTAAATAATTTCATGAAAGCAATCAGTTTCATCTTAATCTTGCTACAGTTAATAAAAATTCTTTACGATTAGAAATATTTAATCTTACCAATAGTATATGTACAATCAGGTCCTTATAACCCAGGTCAATCAAATTAAGTCCCAGCGCCTAAGATGGTATGGGCATGTCCATAGACTAGGAAATGACGGACTAACAAAACTGGTACGGTATGGCGACCGCCGGGAGAAAGCCCACTTGGGAGACCTAGCCAGAGATGGAAAGATAACTTCAAAGCAGATCTCACAAACATGAATACCCTTCTCGACATTTGGAGTCTTTTGGAGGACAGGGTGGCCTGTGTCAGCATAGTGCAGTCAGCCAAGATCCACCCTGGGTTGTAGAGCTACTTTGTATTGTATTGTATTGTATTGTATTGTATTGTATTGTATTGTATTGTATTGTATTGTATTGTATAGGGTTTTCCAATAAGGCGGGTCTATGTTGAAATGGAATATAATAAGCTGTGCGTGAGGTCTTAACGAAATTCTTTTTTCTTTGGATGGCCCGTGTGTGCTATTATGTATGAAATATGACATCGTTCAAATGTCCGTCGCGGCTTCTTATGGTGGCACGTATACGAGAGATCCAATTCTAAATGACTCTGCCGCGTAAATACGGCTGAATTTGAACGATGATCTGGGTTATGTTAACATTGAGGGCGTCGGTTAATTGCGGTTTATTGGCATACACCTTTGACTTCAGAAAACCCCACAAGAACAAGTCGGGCGGGGTCAAATCGCACGATCTTGGTGGCCAATTCACATCACCTCTGCGAGAGATAACCATACACTCAAATCGTTCCCGCAGTATGTCCATCGTGTCATTTGAAGTGTAGCACGTAGCGCCATCCTGCTGGAACCATATGTTGTCTACGACCAAATCGTTTAATTCGGGCCAAACAAAATTAGTTATCATTGACCTGTAGCGCTTGCACGACGTCGACAGTGATGCTCTCACCAAGGTCGTTTTCAAAAAATACGGACCAATGACGCAGCGGGCCCAAATTCCACACCAAAAAGTAACTTTTTGTGGATGCATTGCCATCTCGTGAACCTTGTGTGTATTGGCATCGTCCCATATACGGCAATTTTGCTTGTTAACATATCCATTGTTCTTGTTGTCCTTGTACAAGTCGGGACAGAGAGGGAACAGATCACATCCACTATTCAGAACTTCCACCAGAAACTCTACAGCCAATCGGTGCCTGAGCCAAACCCTATAAACCAGGTAGTCGTGAGTGTGGGCTCCGAAGACATCCCGGAGATTGAGACTGCAGAGCTGAGAATGGCACTGAAGCAGATGAATAACCGAAATGCCCCAGCAGAAGACCGCATTACAACAGAAATGGTGAAGAATGGGGGAACAACTTTAGAGAAGGCATTGATCATCCTTCTTAACAAATGTGTGGAGGAGGGAAAAATCCCCGACTCCTGGAGAAATGTCAAGGTAATCATTCTCTTCAAAAAAGGCGACCGAACCAACATCGAAAACTATCGATCGATCAGTCTTTTGTCCGTTTTGTATAAGCTTCTTACCAAAATTATAACCAACCGACTCAACAAAAAGAGTTTGCTTTCTACCAGTCAGTAGAACAGGCCGGGTACAAACGGTACGTACTCTTATTGAGAAGTGTACCGAATATAATATTCCATTACACCTCGCATTCGTCGACTACAAAAAAGCTTTCGATTCGATGGAAACCTGAGCGGTGCTAGAAGCAATGGATAGTGCGAGGATTGAGTCAAGAGATACCAACCTCATTAAAGATATCTACAAGGGTGCTACAATACATGTCAAAATAGACGAAAATATAACAACCGATAAGATCCCCATACGGAGAGGGGTAAGACAGGGCGATTCAATTTCTCCAAAATTATTTACCCTGGCATTAGAAGACGTGTGTAAGGACATGGCAATAAAAGGGAGTCAACATAGACGGAAGATTTTTGAGTCATCTCCGATTCGCCGACGACATTGTGATTATGAGCACCGACCAGGACGAAGTAAGCTTATGTGTGCTTATTTGTAAGTAAGCCCACAATAATATACAAAGTACTTGTTAACAGTAAGCCCACAATAGTATATAAACCTCGGTAGGAAGTTTCATTCCTGTCTCGAGATAATAGCGAACTTCGACGCTTCGCGTCTCGGTAAGCTAACTGATCTCTCGACAGTAATGGAGCACTTCACACCTCGGTGTGTATGTAATATACTATAGATGATTTAGCCCCAACATCATTACCTTACTTGTATTGAAATGTCTGTGAAATGCGTAATTGTTTGTCTATTCACTATTAAACTGACGATGTTCATCTTGAATTTTACGCTTTTTTTTCTGGATGATCATCTTAAAAAAATTACCCCTTGACTACTGGAATTTTTACTCTAACGCCGTTTGCATTCGCATTAGTTTGGAATGTGGCAAAAGTGAATTTGGAGAGCAAGGATAACGAAAGCTGGGTTTACATGTATGGATTCTGCGGCGCATTTTGATATGGGCTCAAGATCGTTATATTTATTTGGCAATTTCAAAACTCAAGTTGATTTTCCAATATGTACTATTAAACTGTTCAAGAGCCACACACGTATGATTCCACTGTAGCCTGAGCCACAGGCTGCCGACCCTGGTATAGAGGAATACTTGCTCTTAAGCATCTTGTCTCTATCACATGCTTGTTGTGTGTGTGTTTCATCTCAGTTAACAAGCATTATGAATTATTGGTAGTTTATTTCTTATTAACCGCATAATTCGCATAATTATAAAGCAACCATAAAAATAACTTTAATTGAAATTTGTTTAGAAAATGTACCAATGCCTCAATTATTAGAAGGGTTTATATAAAGTTGATCAAAACCACATATAGGGTGGATTTTTAGTGCGATAAACTCAATTATTTTCGATGGTGTTGAACTTTCGAAAAATAGTTTCATATAAAAGTTGTTTACGTATAAAGAGCGCAAATTTTAAAAATATCTTATAGGATACAGAGTGTCTCAAAAAATCGAAGCCAGATCAAAGTGTATTTTTTAAATAGAACTACCTATTTTTTATTAGCTCATGGAATGCAGCTTGAAACGCTGCATATGCATCGTAAATTTGGTTTTTTCTTACTTGCGACGTTGGCAGATTATCGCCATTTTAGTAAAATTTTGCTTAAAACTATGGTATCTAAAAATTTATTGTAGAAGCAAGGAAAAGCAGTTAAAGATACAAAAAAGACGTCTTTCCAATCACCACAGATCCGTTAAGAATTCCATGGAACCAAAATATCAATATATTGTACAGGGTGTTAACAATGTGGACTTCAATCTAAAACTTTTTAACGCAATATAACTTTTGTTCTTCAAAAGGAAGTACCTGTATATTAATACGTCATTAGATAGTGTTAAGGAATCGTTAATCGTTAGTGCTGTTAAAATAATTGAAAGTAGAATTTAAATAATGGGGAACTTGAACAATTTTTTTAAATTTCTTTAATATATTTGTCTATCTATAGAAATCGCGCATACCAAATATCTGCTCTCAAATCGCAATAAACAATTAAAGTTGTGACCGCAGGCTATTCATTTGAAACGACACTAAACGCGCGGGAATGGTTGTCATATCGCTGGTCGTTCGATCGAAAGCCAATACGGGAATCCGGCTTGTCGTTGAATTGTCTGGGTGTTTGAATGTTCAGAATTCGTGCTGTGCTGTATGGTGCCATACAAATGCTGTATGGTGCCACTGTGTCCTAGTACAACTTTTAAAACGCCAGAAAAGCTATTTATTCGTGTACCACGAGATAAAAGCCGGCGTTTAATACGGTTAAAGGGTAAAGGTATGCAAGGATATTTCTGAGAAGAGTACTGCCCATGTATGTCAAGATCATTTTAATGTAAGTTGTAACGGTTGAAAATGGGATTTGGCCAATGGTTCACCTGTCTGCTAACCCGTTGTTCAAATGTATGTAGTAATAAGTCATAATTGTAATAAGCTATTGTTGTCAACCGATTTTAATTTGCAATTTGGATTTAGTAAGCACGTTTGTCAGATTAGGTCTGATGTCTATTTTGGGGATTATTTGAATTTTGATGTTTGGATATTTGTACCTCTCCCCCAAACATCAGCAGTCTTTATCATGGGTTTGTCTGGCAACGTGGTGGTTGCCCCACCTTACGGACCACCGTTATTGATGGGAAGGGACGAGGAGTGGACCCAGCAGGGTCAGCAATCAAGTACCAGAGATTGCCGAACATAGTCGATCACCGTCCCACTGTCCTCCGAATCCGCCATATTCTGCAGGGTGGTAGATCTGCCCGCTGCTAGAACACCCGTTTGGGGACATCGGCCGCCTCCTGGTTCCCGACTGGGGATATTGACCCACTGAAATTGTGGACTGGACAGCCAGGGACGGGCTGGATGAGATCTGGACCTAGCACGTAGGCATCGGCAGCACGTGGCGGCGACTTCGGAGACTTGCTGGTGTTTGGGGCGAGTACGCTATTGGTTCTTTATTATTAATTTGTAATTTCTGGAACTTTTCATTTAATTAGGTAGTTAACGTAGGTTACAGATCAAAAAATCGTTTTCTTGTTCATTTTTAAGCTCACCATTTTCTTTTTTTTTGTATCATCATTCTAGTAAGCTTACGTGCTATCACGGTAATAGAATTGAGTAGGTATTTCGGCAGCATTCCATCGCTGAGTGTTCTAGCTTTGCTGCGAAAGCTAGTGGCGCTCAAACGAACTCACCCTTCGGGCTTTGCCCACGACCGCCCGAAATACCCGCTAAAGGGAAACCTTTTATCTCTCTCTCTCTCTCTCTATTAAATTGATATTTAGTTCGTTGCATTGATTAAATAGTTCTCATTAAAGGTTGATTTTTATTCTTTTGTTTCGTCCGAAATTTGTCGTGTTGCAATCTGGCGCCCAACGAGGGGCGTTAAATGTTCAGGTTCACACAACTTTTCACGTTGTGGTGCATCACAGGGAAGAAGAGGATGAAGAAGGTTGAATTTATAGAGTGCATGCTAAAGTTCTTAGAACAGATGGTTGTGAATCTCCTAAATCGTTCGGGATGAACATGAATATCGGCCAATACATTGATTATGCTATCTTCATCTGGGGATCATCAAAATTGGTATTTTTCACTTTGCTGTATCCAGATTTCTTTTTCCGATTAAGTCATTATCGAACACAATAATATCTAATCTTGCAACTGAGACTTTGAGTTTCACTCTTTCATCTTTGAAAATATATCCAATTTTAGGCGACACCCTGTTAATAGTAAAATTTTGAGAAAAACAATTTTTTGCTCAGGAAAGGAGAGAGTAGGGTAGAAAAACTTTAATAAAAGTTATTGGAAATGAAGAAAGAAACACAAAAAAGAACATTATACAGGGTCTTCCATTTAAAATAAATAAGTTTCTGACAAGTTCAGGTATAACCGGAAATAGCATAATGTCGCGTAATTTCATCTGATCGCTGATCGTGTGGC